CAGTTCCCTCTTCCAGCTATTACTGCATGCCTACACTACAACAGAGTCTTTCTCCAAACTTTGGCTCCTCCCCAACATAGGCTATTGTTTCTGGGGCCAGAGAAGGTTTTCTATGTCTTAGTTCTGTTACAATCTTAGACACAAAGTTAAAGGACATTTTTTCTGAGATGAGGCAATTAGTTGATGACACTCTCTCCAAAATATATATCAGAGAATACCCAGGAACACAAATTCCTCAGAATTTAAGGTGTGTTATGTATCCATATGTTATCATAGCAGTTGGGCATTTCTGAAGTCAATATTTGTTGCTGCAGGACTTTTCATAGCCTTTAATATGTTAATTATCACCAAGAGGCTCCAGAAGGGAATAAACTGTTTCTCAAACCTTGGCGTCTGAAGTAGCTACGTCTCACTGATTTTACTTCAGGACTATATATGTCTAGTCAATGAAAACTGAGGTAATCACAAAAACACTTCCAGCACTTCACCCTCAGGCCTTCCAAATCATCTACATCTGTACCACATGCCCTGCTTTCTCTCCTGATGCTGCCCAGAGTAAACAGCCCAGGGTGCCAATTAAAGCCAACCTTTCCCTTGTGGATCCCATTTCTTCACATCTCCACAAAGACTTCACTCCTGCCATTGTATCCTTTTGTGGGACAACAGGTTTTTTAAGATCATAAAGCTAGGCTGGATGTGGTGGCTCATGCCTGTAATCCCAGCACTTTGGGAAGTGGAGGTGAGAGGATTGCCTGAGCCCATGAATTTGAGACCAGGCTGGGCAACATGATGAGACCTCATCTCTACAGTAAATCAAAAAACTAACTACAGGTGGTGCACACCTGTAGTTCTAGTTACTTGGAAAACTGAGGAGGAAGGACCACCTGAGCCCAGGAGTTCGAGGCTGTGATGGCCATGAGCATGTCACTGTACTCCAACCTGGGCAAGAGAGTGAGACTCTGATTCAAAAAAAAAAATCTTAAAGCTATCTTATTGTTAAAATATTCCTGTTGGTCCAACATGTAGTTCCCTCAGGTTTTCCCTAGTCTGCATAATCCAAGTTTTCCACACCCAGAATACTACCTGCAGAATTGTCCTAGTATTTCTCATGTTTGCTTTGTTTGGCATTTGCTTGTCCTTTTAGATTATAAGTCCATTGACTGTGGAGGCTATTAAACATTTCCTTTTTGCTACCCCAAGGACATATCAATGGCCTTGCATATGGTAGGCATTCAATATTCAGACTTTATTTGAACAAATGAATACTGATTATGAAAGCAACAAAATACCCACTCCATTTCATGAAATTCCCTCACCTGTGGATTGTTCAGCAAATTTTCAGCCATTAAAGAAATATTTCTAAATGGAATTCAAGATAGGGTCAACACGCAAGCAAAGGGCAGCATAAAAAGTACAAACGTCATTTGAAATTAAAATGTCTCTGGTTCTTCTTGTTGGTGGTTAAAAAAAAAAGTGTATACTCAACAGGTAACATCTCTGTAAAGTAAAGTTATGAGCCCTCATCTGGCTTAAGGTTGAAGGAAATCCACCAGAAGTCATCCCCAGTATCTCTCCTCTTTGAGCCTTCCTAGGAGGTTGGATGGAGGTGAGGCTGCTGAATGGTTCAGGGAGGTTCTTATCCAGGCAGAGGCTGTTGTCATGTGCTGCCAGCTGCAGTGTGACCAGGTTGCAGTGTGGCTGCCCCCACGGTAGCCCACTTTGGAGCAGGCTCCAGCCAGGTTCTGTTGGACCATGTGTAATGTGTGAGTAGTGGGAGCCACCTGGGGCAGTGTGTGCATGGGGGGCTGGTCTGGGCACAACTGTGGACCCCTGGAAAATGCCAGTGCCATCTGTGCAGGTGAGGGCTCTCACCTCCCAGGACTTCACCATTGTCACAGTCAGCCAACACTAACAGAGCCATTGGATCTTATGTTATAAATAACCTCACAGTCCTTGATCTCTTGATGAGATGCTGATGGTTCTTCTGTCCCCACACCCCATCAGACATGCTCCCAGGATGGTCCAATCTTTGGGTAGTTTGCTTTGGGTAAGCTTTGTCTTCTAAAACTCATTTTGTTAAGTCGTAGGAGAGCTTCTCCAGGACTAGAAAAGTAAAAATCCTTTCCACATAACAAAGGGATATGATCATGACAAGTTTGGAGAAGAATGAACAGAAATGTTTAGGCAAGGGAATATTTATTGTATCAAATGAATACCGTTAGAATTTCTCAATATTTTTTGCCAGGAGTTATTGATAGAAAATATCAATTGTCTCCAAAAAATTAATGTACTCTAAATGAATTATAACTATAAATAAACACTTTTGAGGGTCTCTCCTCTTTACACCTTTTTATAAAAGCTGAAGATTCCTGTGTTGATAGATACAAGTGACTTATTATCAAAAGACTTTGATTCAAGTCTATAAGAATTACAGGTGCAGCCACAAAGGGAATGGTAGAGGTCCAGAAAACACTCATGATGTTTCCTTTGCTGTAATAATTGATCAGGAGATGAATATGGCTAATTCCCTCAAGTGTGTTGGTAAGCAAAGGGCAGGGAAAGATGACTAAAGACATTCACAAAGGTATATTTATCCCAATTTCATCCTGAGGGAACTGAATTTCCAGTTCCTTCACTGTCAGATCTGACTGTCGGTGACCAGCACTGACCAAGGATGGGTTAGTACCCGCACCAGAGAATCTGGACAGCGAGAAGAGACTACTCGGAGGCAGTTCTTCTGGGAACAGTCTGATCAGGACTGAAGCCAAATTTTATTCGGACTCCTTCTAACTTATATACCATTTTCTATACCCTCCAGCAGTGTGATAATCACTTACTGGGGGCGTACAAGTTCCGTGCTTTACAAACTATGCATCACAAGACCACCACGAGATCTGCAATTTTCAAGCAAACAATTCGAATTCCATGATGCCTGCCGTGCTTACATTAAGGTCACAGGTGCACAATTTCAATACAAATCGTTCAAAGTGTTTTCCATAATGTTCAATGAATCATTCATATTATACTCTTTGTTCTATACCCTGATTAATACAAAAAACTTTTCTAAGTTAACTCTAGGTTTACTGACTCCTAATATTTTTAACGATTAATATTATCAACTTAACACTATACTATAATCTATAAGTTTACTTAAATGACTTAGCTGTTAGTTATACTATTATCCTATTATGATTTAACGTAATGCCTTATAACTCAATTAAAACTTATTCTTAAACTACCAAACTTTACTATAATTCATATGTTTCATATGTCTAAACTTTAATTTTTATATGATCTAGTTATTGGACTTTAATACTATGCTATATCCTATTAAGCTAATACCTTATCGTTAATTCTTTTATAAATCGTATAGTAACTATTATATTTGAGTAACGTAGCAAAAGGAAACAAAACAGCAAGCATAAATTTACACAACTATGAGTGTATATGTATATATTTTATCCTAACAAGTCTACTCTAAAAATCAAATAGTAGCTGTCACACTCTTGAACAAGGAAATGCAGGGTTGCCAAGATAACGGCCATAGGCTGAAGCAGACAGAGTTTTGGTAATTAATGAAACAAAAGAAAACGTTCTACCTGGCTAGGGGCAGGGTGACAAAACTATCATGGTAATTTAGTTTCTAATCTTAGCCCTAGGGGAAACAGCTTTGGGAGCAAGAGCTGACTACCCAGTCTACCAGGAAATAGAAGTTAAAAAATATCTAGAAAGAAGTAAAACTTAGAAAGACAGAGAGAAATAATTCTGCTATGCACTTTCCATCAGGTGTATTCAGATTTACTTATAAGTTTTACTGCCATGTATGCACACTGGTCACTAATGACACGGCAATATTATAGGTATAACTGATATCCTATGTCAGAGGCGATCTTCCAGATGGGCCTTTACAGGCCTCAGCCATGTAGCTATAGATGTTGGCTCCCAACATCTGACCACCCGCCCATTCTGTTTCTTGAGGCTATTCCATGTGCCACAGTGTGGTGAAGTGAAAAATAAAACAGTCATGTGACTTGTTCTTTTATCTGCCTCACTCTTAAAAATATTATTGCTCATCTGTCACTTGGCAGACTGATTACCAGTCTTATCAAACTTATTCCATAACTTTATGGCCAGTAGTCTTTTTATGAGACATAATGAGAGGAATAACCATGTCCAAAAGTCATCTGTGGGTCTCAATTTCTTAGATAACACAACGCTCATATTCATACATTTTTTTCTTAATGCTGTGTCTATATGACATGAGCCATTTAGATATTTTTCTGAAAAGGAATCAAAATGCATGGCAGCTAATCAATTTCAGAACTGGTTTTTGTGCATTAAATACCTGGAATTCTAGAACACATCCTAAAGATGTTCAGTTTCTCCATCCCATCACAGAAACTCAGTGACTAAGTTTGAGGAGAGTGGTTCATGGGGAGAATGGGACTCCCTTTTCTGCCCAGCTCCATTTCTACTGGAGCAGAGTCAAGAACTGATATTGGGTTTAGCAGTCACAAAGTGAAAATATCAATAAATAATATCTCGTCTCCAACTGAGATCTAGACAATTTGGAAAATAAAAGAAAGGAGGAGACCAAATTGGACAGGAAAACCCAGGTTGAAGTATACAGCTCAGTGTGAGAGACAAAAGTCTTGCATTAGAACCCCAAAGGGGTTCAAACATTCTACCCAGGAGCCAGGGTGGGAAGTCTGACTGGAAGGTGCAGAGGAGGATGTGTGCTCTCTGAGAGCAGGCTGATTCCCAAAGAGAGAAAAGGGAAGAGCCTGGACAGCAGTCTCATGGGTATTCTTCCAAATTCATCAGTCACTAACATCCTCCTCTTCCCCTTAGGTAAAGTTAGAGGGGATGGAAAGGAGCCAGAAATCCATGGAAGGAATCCTCAGGAGGGAAAGTGTTATCTCCTGGCACTATTTAACACAGCCTTTTCATTGTCTTATTTGTGAACATTCTCCTTCTTTAATTTTTCACACTAACAGGACATGCATTGTCAACCAGCATTCCTGTCTCCAAATCTGCTGCCCCTCATTAGACACCCAGGCCAGCAGGTGAGTTTTTGCAGTAAGTTTCTTAGTCCTTCTCTTTTATTTTCTTCAATAACTGTATATTCGTTCTTTTCCATTTTTATTTTAGATTCAGGGAATACACATGCATGTTAACTGCATGGACATATTGTTTAGTGGTGGGGATTGGGTCTCAGGTGACCCATTCCCCAGGTAGTGAACAATGTGCCCAGCAGGTAATTTTGGAATGCTATTTTACCTCTCTACCTCCTCCCTTATAGATGTCCCCAGTGTCTATTATTTCCATCACTGTGGTCCTTTAGCTCTCACATATGTGAGAGTATTTAGTGTATGTTTTCTGTTTCTGAGTCTTTTCACTTAAGATGATGATCTCCAACTCCACCTATACTGCTGAAAAGGACGTGATTTCATTCTTTTTATGGCTGTGTAGTATTCCCTAGTGTATATACCCACATTTTCTTTATCCACTCAATCACTGGTGGGCACTTAGGTTGCTTCCATGATTTAGTTATTGTGAATAGTTCTGCAATGAACATACAAGTACAGATATTATCTTCAGATGTTGATTTATTTTCCTTTGGATATATCCCTAGTAGTGGGATTGCTGGGACAAGTGGTAATTCAATTGTTAGTTCTTTGAGAAATCTTCATACAGGTTTCCATAAAGGCTGAACTAGTTTACAATCCCACCAACAGTGATAATTTACAATTCCACCAACAGAATGAGCACCTCCTTTTCTCCACAACTGTGCCAACATCTGTTTTTCGTTGACTGCCTAACAATAGCCATTCTGACTAGTGTGAGAAGATCTCGTCGTGGTTTTAATTTGCGTTTCTCTGATGATTAGTGAGGTTGAGCATTTTTTAATATGTTTGTTGGCAGCTTGTGAGTCTTCTTTTGAGCAATGTCTACTCATGTTCTCTGCCCACTTTGGGATAGGGTTGTTTTTGTTTTGTTTTTTTCATGTTGTTTGAGTTCCTTGTATCTCCTGGATATTAGCCCTTTGTCTGAGGCATAATTTGCAACTGTTTCCTCCCATTCAGTAGGTTTTCTTTTCACTCTGTTGATCATTCATTTTATTGTGCAGAAACTTTTTAATTTAATTAAGTCCCATTTGTCTTTTTTTGGTTTTGTTGTGATTGCTTTTTGGGGGGTCTTCATCATAAAATCTTTGCCTAGGCCAATGTCTAGAAGAGTGTTTCCTAGGTTTTCTTCTAGGATTTTTATAGCTTCAGGTCTTACATTTAAGTCTTCAATTCATCTTTAGTTAATTTTTGTATATGGTGAGAGATAGGGGTCCAGCTTCATCTGCATATGGCTAGCCAATTTTCCCAGCACCATTTATTCTATAGAGTGTCCTTCCCCCATTGTTTATTTTTATTGATTTTGTCAAAGATGGGTGGTTGTAGATATGTGGTTTTGTTTCTGGGTTCTCTATTCTGTTCCATTGCTCTATCTGTCTATTCTTGTACCAGTACCATACTGTTTTAGTTACTTTAGCCATAGAGTATAATTTGAAGTCAGGCAGTGTGATGCCTTCACAGTTTTTTTTTTTTTAGTTTTTTTTTGTTTGTTTTTGTTGTTGTTGTTGTTGCTGTTGTTGTTTAGAATTGCTTTGGTATTTGGGCTCTTTTTTGGTTACATATAAACTTAAGATTTTTTTTCTAGTTCTATGAAAAATGAAGTTAGTATTTTGATTGGGAATGCATTGAATCTGTAGATTGATTTTGGCAGTATGGTCATTTTAACAATATTGATTCTTACAATCTATGAAAATGTGATGTTCTTCAATTTGTTTGTGTCATCTACAATTTCTTTCATCAGTGTTTTGTAGTTCTGCTTATAGAGATATTTCAATGTCCTTAATTAGGTTTGTATTCCTAGGTATTTTAATTTTGTGGCTGGTGTGAGTGAGATTGAGTTCTTGATTTGGTTCTTAGCCTGAGCCTTGTTGGTATATAGGAATGCTACAGACTTTTGTACATTGAGTTTGTATCCTGAGACTTTACTGGAGTCATTTATCAGATCTAGAAGCTTTTTGGAGGACTCCTTAGGTTTTTCTAGGTATAAAATCATGTCATTCGCAAACGGAGTTAGTTTAACTTACTCTGTGTCAATTTTGATGCCTTTATTTCTTTCTCTTGTTGAATTGGTCCTGCTAGGACTTCCAGTACAATGTTGGATGAGAGTGGTGAGAGTGGACATTCCTGTCTTGTTCCTGTTCTGAGGAAGAATGTTTCCTTTTTTCTTTTATATTTTAAAGATGTAGGGTACAATTCAGGATTAGGTATACAAGTGTACATTGTACTGGTAAAGTTTGGGCCTTGCTTTGATCACCACTTTGTCTGGTTTTAGATCAGGTATCCGTATTGATGTTGTGCCCTCTCATACCCACTCCACACCCTGGCAATATTCCACTGCTGCCAATCCCTTTCTTATAGTATTATAGTAAATGTTCAGGGTCTGCTTATGAGTGAGAACATGTGGTACCTTGTTCTTTGTTTTTGTGATAGATCACTGAGTAAGATAGACTCTAAATCCATCCAAGTTGCCGTGAAATCCATATGTTTGTCCTTATTTATGGCTGCATAATATTTCATTGTGTACATGTACCACATTTTATTTATCCAGTCCAGTTTCGATGGGTAACATCGTTGGTCCCATGTTTTTGCTATTGTGAATAGTGCTGCAGTAAACATGCATGTACAGGTATCTTTTTTGTAGAATGAATTGAGTTCTTCCAGGTGTATTCCCAGTAGGGAGATTGCTGGGCCATATGGAAGGTAAACTTCTAGTTCTTTTAGAAATCGCCACACTGTTTTCTAAAAAGGTTACACTAGTTTGCATTCCTGCCAGCAGTGTAGAAGCATTCCTTTTTTACCTCATCCTCACCAGCATCTGTTGTTGTTTGTTTTATTAATGATGGTCATTCTTACAGGGATTAGGTGGTATCTCAGTGTGGTTTCAATTTGCATTTCTCTGATGATGAGTGAGGCTGAGCACTTTTTCATGTGTCTGTTGGCTGCCCATATATTTTCTTTTGAGAAGTGTCTATCATGTCTTGTCCCCACTTTTTAGTAGGGCTGTTTGCTTTTTTCCTTTCGGCACTTTTGAGTTCCTTGTAGAACCTGGATGTTAGCCCTTTGTCAGACATACAGTCAGCAAATATTTTTTTTTCCCATTCTGTGAGCTGTCTCCCCATTCTCTTGATGGTTTTGAGAATATTTTCAACTTTTCCCAACTGAGTATAATATTGGCTGTAGGTTTTCCATATATGGTTCTTATTATTTTGAGATATGTTCCTTCTATGCCCAGTTTGAGGACTTTTATCCTGAAGACATGTTGCATTTTATTGACTGCCTTTTCTGCATCTATTGAGATGATCATATGTTTTTTGGTTTTGCTTCTGTTTACATGGTGAATCACGTGTATTTATTTGCAGGTATTTTACCAACCTTGCATCCCTGTGGTTGGAATGATTTGGAGCCCCATGAGTGAGTTTCAGGTCCCCTGTTTTCATCGTCCCAGAATGAAGGGTTTAATTAACATCTAAAGGTGTCTTGCACCTTTTTGTGTCTTGCACCTCTTTGGAAAACAATGTGGCTATTTCTAAAACAACTAGAAATTTACCTCCCATATGGCTCAGCAATCTCCCTACTGGGAATACACCTGGAAGAACTCAATTCATTCTACAAAAAAGATACCTGCACATGCATGTTTACTGCAGCACTATTCACAAAAAGATGAAGGGCTACATTTTGGGCATGTAAGTGGATTTGGGGTATACTTCCTTTCCATGCCATCTCTAAATTGATGACCTTGCTTTTAGAACATGCTTTTTTTTGAGAATAAAATAGACCCATAGTTATACAACTCACTCACCTTTTCTTTTCCTCCTGGCAATAGCAAACAAACAAGATAATGAACTGAATTACTGATTTGAGGATGTTTTCTTCTTTCTTCATTGCATGTTGGGTTACAAGTAGTCTCAGATATGCAGCCTTTAAATTTGAGCAACTGCCTGGTCCTTTGTTCACTGCTTTCTTCAAGCACTGGCGAGAATGTGCCACTGTTTGAATGTGTCCAAACCCACATCCCAACCATCATTCCAGTCTAAGGAATTTGCAGAGCCGTGTTTGTTTGTATGTCTGTGCCCAGAGTCATGGAGTTTGCATTTTGTACTGTGTTGTGCCCTATTTGCAGGCAAAATAATCAAAGAGTTGCTATTTGAACATATTTGGTTGTAAACAAAGCCCTTTCTGTTGTGGGTGCTGCAAGCCAGTTGGTGAAAAGGGCTTCACATTTAAGGTCTGCTTCGTCTCTTTTCAGGGTGTTTTGCAGTGTTTGACTTTTGGATGGAAATGTCTTTTCTTGGGCAAAACTGGAGTGTGAAGATTCAGAGAATGTGTTTGTAAATGTTACAGTATATATTTTTAAAGAAACAATCACAATGCTATTAGAACACTTAAGCATTGAATAAGGAATCCTTAATGTCATCTCGTATGCTGACTTTAAGAGTTAAATCCAACGTGTTTTGTCCAGGTAACCAACCTACAAAATCCCAAGGGAAAGGACGTCGTTTTCTGTACTTCAGCAAGCAGCTTTCTAAGACACCGTTTCCCTTTCCACAATACTTTCCAAAGTCAACTATTAGTGCTGGTAAATTTTCTCCTGCCTGTGCCCATGGCTCCAGAAACCAGGACTCATGCTTGGATAATAAAGGGGAAGGACACTCTCACATTTGGGGAAGCTGGCTTGTGTACTGTGGTCCCCAAAATAGCCACTGTGCTTCCCGTGTGTCTGAGTGTCTTTGACTGCCAGGTCTCATGATGGTTGATGCCTTTAGTGCTGGAACAATGGCAGCCTGGTCCCTTGGAGCCTGGGTTTTGAGGTAAGGGTTTCCTCTGGATGTTTCCAAGGGGCTGGGAGCCCAAGCTCTCAGGCTTGGCATCTCCAGCACTGGCTCTGCCCTCTGTGGTCCTCTCAGGCCCTGGCCACTGCATCTGCTGCTCCATGATCACAAACCCCATGAAATTAGGGTTTCTTTGGATGGCCATATGGGAGGGCTGGTGTCCACATTTGACCGGCAGCCAGCCAGCTACTCATCAGGTATCATAAGATGGTTGGCATGGTGTAAGACACCTTTAGATATTAATTAAGACTCTGATGTCACAGATTTGTCTGGAATGTGTATCCATGCAAGGCATGTATAGGTGCTCCATTCTTAAGTTTATTCTGGATTCAGAGAGAACTGGGGTCAGAGTCTGTCTCTGCCACTCACAGGCACATGCGAATTCTCCAAGTCTTGATTCCTCACTGTGGCAAGGACAGTTATAACTCAAGTTTCTCAGGGAGGTTAGATGGCCAATGCCCAGCCCCTTAGCCTCTGGAGGGGCAGCTCTGAGGAGCCCTCTCCTCAGGTCTTTGGAGTCCCCAGCCAGGTTGGGTCCTGCCAGACAGTACAACCTGGTTTATTGGTGTTTTCTTTCCCCTTTCTCACTCCCTTCACCTTTTCATTTGTACTATGTGAAATCACCTTCCAGACACAGTGCTGTGCCCAAGACCTTTGTGCCTCAGGCTGTTTCCAGGAAGGTACCAAAGATGCCCTGCACAATGCCCACACACACCCACCTGCTGCTGTTACTGGGTGTCTCTGTAAAGAACTCTATTTGGCTGCAAGTCAGAAAGGTGCCTCTGACTGCACAGAGGGTAGAAGTGGTAGCCTCAGGGTACTGTGGTATCAGCTGACCCCACTGTGCCTCATGGCGCAGGACTTATGGAGACCAATTCTTGTACATGAAAGACTGGCCCAAAGTAAGGTAGGGACTGACCAGACCAGTTTCCCAGGGAAGACACAGTGGAGAGAGACAGACAGGGAGGGAATCTGGGGGAGAAGGGATTTTGACTGATTTTAGTCGAGCCTAGGTGAAAAGTGGTTAGACAATTTCACTAGTGCTGCCATGTCCACCCACCACCCCTCTTCCCCACAGACCACCGAGGTTGCCAAGATGAATGGTAGAAAATGCATAATTCAACTGCTCAGCCCACTTTTCAGGATCCATTCTGGTTCTGGGATTCTGGTTTCCTCCAGGAGCTGACTGTCCTCCACATGGGATAAGGGCTCATAGTCCTTTCCCTGCTAACATTGCATGGAACCACCATTTATTACTGCTTTCTTGTTTACCTGTGAATTCCTCCTGGCTCTCCCTGTCTGAGGGTACCCAGCACATCTGTGTGTGTTTGTGGTGACTTAGAAAGCTGTAATTACTGCCTATCTTGGATCCCCATTTCTGGGCAGCCCCTGAGAAACTGTTGGGACATTTTTTTTCTCCTAATGTGGGTTTCTTAACTGGAACCCAGCAAGGACCACAGAGCCCTGGGCCAGGTCCTTCACTAGAGGGAATGCAGAGTCTGTTGGACTGGAATTTCCTGGGGAAAATGCAAAGATGCAGTCAGGTTTTTTTTTTTCCTTTTTCTGGTTTCTGAGGGTTGCTACTGTAAGTTCTTAGCAGAGAGAAGAGAAAAATAGTTTTCTATTAACCAAGAAGAATGATATTTATCACCGTAGACCAGAATAGAACATGTGGCCTATACTGGCAATTCAATTTGTTATTTTTAATGAATTCTGTTTTGTCACACGGCCCAGATGGAGATGTTAATTTGCTCCTGGCTCCTTCTCTATATGCTGTTTCCACTTTCTCCTTTCATCTGTGTTGAACATATGCTGCCTTCTTCATTACAAGAGAGGAGGGGCCACCAAGCGAGGCCTGTGTGCTGCCTGGGAATGGCCCAGATTTGGAACCGGCGCCCAGTGCTGTCACCTCCTGGCTCTGTCAGTGACCTCGAGTGGGTCTCTTCACCTCTCTGAGTCTCAGTGTCTTCATCTGTCAAATGATGTGCATAAGTAACTCCCTGCTCTCAGATGGAATGTTAGAATCTATGTGAAAATGCCTTGTAAATTGTGAATCATGCTACACACTAGCTGTCATTCTTCCAGTGACTGGAATAGTACTTTGTGGCATGTGGGCTCAATGATGAAATTTGTGATGAAAAACTGGAAGCCATCTGTTTCATGGTGCTGCAGGTAAGGTGTTACCCCGAGTGCTTCACAGCCATCATTTTTGTTTTGGGTGCACCATGGTCTTCTACTAATGAGGGAAACTAAGCATGGGGAGGGAAGACAATGGAGGGGCAGACCTGGCTGGACTCTAGACCAGAACCAGGCCCTCAGGTTGGGGCTCCCAGCCACTGCACGTCTCTTCCCTAGCGAAGGCTCTTGCCTGTGTCTCAGCACCATTTGTCCTTCTCTTTGGGAAATCTGTTCCCTACATGTGGGTTACCCAGAGAATCAAACTCTCATGAAGGTAAGACATTTTCTTGACATCGGACCTTTATTGGACTCTTAGAGCTGAGGGGGGCTGGGTTTCCTCATGGGCCTGGATCTGCATACAGCATGGTGATGCTGGGGGCTCCCTGGGCCATGGTGTTGGGGCTGCTTGGGCCATGGTGTTAGGGCCCCTGGTCTGTAGTGTTGGGGCTGCCTGGGCCACGGTGTTGGGGTTGCCTGGGCCATGGTGTTGGAGGATTGTCTTTCTCCATTCTCCTTGCCTGTCTGTCCCACACTCCTTGCTTGTCTCCAGAGAAACCACCCTGGCTGAGAGAAGAGTTGTCCTGAATGCTGACTTCTGAGAGGGCTGTAAGGAACATTCTTTCACAGAGCTTAGGCTTTTTTGTCACATATTTTGTGAATTTTTTTTTTTTTGGTGAAACATCTTGTTGTTCTGCCAAATCAGACTCAGCTTTATCAGAAGTTTGCTTTGAATTTGCCTAACAATCAGGGCCTTTACAGATTCCTGGGCAGGCTCTTTCTGAGGTTGCCTTCTTTGATGGTTTTCTTGCCGACAGTGACATTCCTGTCCACAGAAATGGGATGCATGCCGAAGCGGCATCCAGGCACCTGCTAATGTGTCCAGGTCTCTGGGTCAGCCTTCCTCCTTTGTTTTTACAAAACTTTTCATTTATTGGCTTCTAGATCCAAAAGGGGGCACTGATTTTGTGATATGTTTTCAGCTTACATGCAAAATGAAATATATTTCCGGCAGGCATCACCCAAGAATTAACAAAAAGAGTATTTCCTTGGCTGCTCCTTGAATTTCTTGGTGATGTAAGGTTTAATAAGATTTAAGAGTTACTAAGTATCCTTTAAGATTTTAGTAAGTATCTTTCTTTTGGGGATGTGACTGTAGGATAATCTGAAATGACTTCGTTGATGGGCACACTCCATTAGCTGTTTTGGGGTTTTCAACTTGCTTTTTAAAACCCAAACTGAGTCTCTTTCTCCATTCACTGACCAGTTTGTTCATTCACTCATTCATTCACTCATTCATCACAGTCTCTATGTCCCAGGTTCTGGAAATAAAGCAGTGAGCAAAGCCAGACATAGTCCCTGCCCTCGTGAACAGATGATTCTTACTGAACTGCAAGGCTACCACCAAGGACAGGTTTGTAGAGCTGTGAGGGTGGCTGCTGGTGCCCTGTCCAGGTCTTTATTCACCACAGGCACCCTCAGCCCCCAGCTGCTGTCTCTGCTGCAGACGGCTCACAGTTGCTCCCTGCCACCTCTGCAGATGTGCCCTTGGAAGGCTACATCTCCCACTCCCTGACTGGTCATTCTGCAGCCAGAGGCCAACTCCAGTGAAAACTGCAGCTTCTTGTCTTAAGGGGCAACGTTGTGTGCAGTTACAACTCCAGAGCTCCTGTGGGATCCACTGAGCCAGACTCTGGCTTAGACCACAGTTTTGCTTAGCTCCTACCTTTGTCCTCTCCTTCCTGCGTCCTTCTCTCCCTTTCTCCTTCAGTCCATCATGTGCACCCAAACACCTGCATCAGGCTCTGCTTAGAGGCAACTTGACCCAAGACGGGTGCTATCAGAGCCCATCAAAGTAAGATCTGATTTGGTGGGAAGCTCAGGAAAACTAGTTTAAGGAGGCGATACCTGTGCTGAGGTTTGCAGGATTGGCAAGAGCTAATTAGCTAGAGCGTGAAGTGAAAGGTCCTCCAGGTGGAGGAGCAGCACATGCAAAGTTCTGGTGGGGAGCATTTATGAACTGAAGGCTGAAAAGAGGCCAGCATTGCTGGAACAGAGAGAGGGGGGCACAGTGTGAGAAGAAGCTGAGGTGTCAGCAGGAGCATGGCAAGGTAGACATCCCAGGCTGTGACAAGGATGCTCTCCAGTTGGTGGTAGCCTCATCACCTACTGATACCAAGCCAGGGTCTTGGAGAGAGTTGAATGGGAGAAGCCTGGCTAGTGGAAAATGCTAGCACTGGGGTCACAAGTCTGGGATTCCATTTCCAGTTCTAGCAATTATGTGTGACGTCTCTGGGCCTCAGTGAGAGTCAAATGTACTACCCTAAAGCATTCTGCAGTCTTATAAGAATAACAACTTGCAGGTGTTTATTTTCCTGGGTGTTAATAATGACACTCATCCTATTCTTTAACCAGAGACCCCTTGTAGTTCAAAGCACTGTCACTGGGAACGGGAATGCAGAGAGGGAGATGGCTGCTCTGCAGAAGAGGACAGTTAGCATACTGAGCCAGCCCTGACATATGTAGAAGTAAAGACTTCTGTCTCTCCCTTTTTAGGTAAAAACAGCAACAGAGAAGGCATGAGGACCAAGAGCTCCGAGAAGTCTTCCATTGATGATCACAATGTCCGTGTAGCCCCTGAAGATGTCAGAGAGAGTAAGTGAGGCTCTCGGAGAGCCCTTGCCCCAGTCCTCTCCCTTGTCTAGGAAGGGCAGAAGGGTGCAGGAGCCCGACTCTAGATTCCCTGAGCATGGGGCTACCTGAGGCCTGCTGTCTATTCTTAACCATGTGTGGGGGTGAGAACATTCCCAGCAGCTTCTGTGGTGTATTCATACTTCTGCAGGGCATCAGAACTCGCAGTCACATTTTCCTGATGGATTCCACTAGAGTCATTTTTGAATTTTCTGGAGCTCTTACTTTCTTTCCCCACCTCTCTCTCCTCGAAGACAGTATCACTTCCTTTCTTGTGGGAGCTCTTAGCAGTCTGCATCCTTGGGTGGGTATTTCTTATTTCCCAACCCAACCCGGGAGCCTCTGGGTCAGAGGACAAGTCTTCTCCTTCCAAAATATTGGGTGCTAGGCCTGGTGTCTTACAGTCATGTGAACATATCAGACCTTTAATTACTTACCTTAGAATGATCAGAAGTATTAATTCTAGGCTCATAAACAAGTTCAAGCTCATTAGTGTAGCTATTACTATTATTAACTATTACCATGACTATTATTGTCTCTTTATTGTTCTACACTGTGGTATCCAGGATCACATTTCTACTGATATTAGTAATAGCAGTCATTATTTAAGCACTTAATAGTTGCCAGGCTCTTGGCCCTGTATTTGACATGCCCCTCTGAGTATCATGGGCACTATTATTATTATTTATTATTATTATTATTCTTGTTTTACAGACAGGGAAAATGAGACTTGGTGATATGAATAATTTGCCTAGGGTTATACAGCTTGTAAATGGCAAAACAGGGATTTGAACCCAAGATTTGCTGAGTCTAGACTTTTCGTTTAGCAATATTGCTGCTTAAAATAAATGGAGTGTTTCACAACTTTGCATTTACAAGGTCAGGACTCATTTTCAGCTGCCATGCGAGCCCATAAACCTTGTAACAGAGTTGATTGTCATGGAGGGAATTGCTTGTTCCCTTAGGCACAATGTAATGATTTGAGGCTGCATTTCTTTTCTTTTCTTTTTTCTTTTTTTGAAGTTGGAGTCTCACTCTGTTGCCCAGACTGGAGTGCAGTGGCCGCTTCCAGCCACTGCAGCCTCGACCTGCTGGGCTCCGGCGATCCTTCCGCCTCAGCCTTCCAAGTAGCTGGAACTACAGGTACGTGCTACCATGCCCAGCTAATTTTTTTGATTTACTGTAGAGATGAGGTCTCACCAAGTTGCCCAGGTGGGTCTTGAACTCGTGGGTTCAGGCAATTCACTCACCTCAGCCTCCCAAGGTGCGGGATTACAGGCTGAGCCACCGAGCCCAGCTGGGGCTGCATTTCTAACCAAGAACTTACCATCAAAGAAATTGTAGAGATGAGTAACAGTCCATCCTAAAATAAAAACAGAAGTCAACAGCAATGAACTTCTGCAGCCACTCACCATATGTAAATTATGTTCCATCTTAAAGTGAGCAGGCGTGCACTGTACCTATTCCCTTAGAGAAGAGTCAGCCTATTGGGTGAATGTATTGCAATGCTGGGACTATGTTTCTGCTGATTTACCTTGATGGTGCGACCATGTGGGGTCTTCACGAAATGGGGGCTAATGGGACTCCCCACCTTGGGTGGGCCTTGGACATTGATATTCTCTGTCCTGGCCCAAATAGGCTGATAAAACACCATCTCTTTCTTCAGGATCACAGATGCCAAGGGCTAACATAACTTTGAGAGCTGGCTTTCCCTCTCTGGATCTTGCTGCCATCAGATCTGGGCCTGGTAATTCTTCTCTCCTTGTTAATTTTTAAATGCCTTTAAACATATTTTAAAACATATTTTGTCCAGGTTTTTTTAAGTAGCTTCAGTGGAAGGGTTGGTTTGAATTATCTTAGTTCTTCATTATCAAAATTGGAAGTTCTTAACATTTGGGGAGACATTTTCAGAATGGTTTTTGAAGGTCCAGTTCTTCACACACACACACACACACAAACACACACACACATACACACACACACACACCACACACACAGTCTGAACTCGCCTCCTTTTCTGTCATGGGTACAGCCCTTCCCCTGACTGGCCCACTCAGAATTGTTCCTGTGGCCTTTGCCTCATGGCTCTGTCAGGTCAGGATCTCTGGTCTCTAAGGCAACCATCATGACCCTGAGTCATTCAGTGCCCTAGATGTGATTTTAGCCTGCAAAATGTCCATTAAAAAGAAAAGGAGGGATTGAAGACAATCTTGGAGAAGGAAAGCAGCTAGAGGGATCCTGATGTGTGGATGGTGGGCATGGAGGCATTGCATGTGGAGGCTGGGTGGTGTGGCATTTAGGAACACAAGCCTAGAGTCAGTTGGTGGCACATGGGCAGGGCAGGCCTCAGATGTAGAGCTGGATGGAGAGATCCAGAACATTCTCAGGACCTTGAATCCACCCTACTCTCAACATCTCCTCTGGTTGCACGGGGGGATGCAACCTTGGGGGTAATGTGGCAGAATGTTTGGTGGCACAGATGCTAACTACATCATGTTTAAGGTGGTGGGTAGCTCAGATGTTAACCCACATCCAGTCATGTGAGTAGATGGTATCAAAGGCTTGTCTCAGAAGCAGAAGTCACCCTTGGGGAAGTTTTACTTTGAGGGGGAGAATATGGGCATGGCTGTCACTGTGATTAAGGAGCAGTATCAGAGTGGCAGGTAACCAAAATACATTCCAGATGTTGTCCAATAGGAGTTTATGAAGTTGGCTGAGTCAACTTCTAATTATTCACCTCTCCCTATGTCACATCCTTTGCTGTGTAACTCTTCCGTTTCCTTTGCCAAAGGTGGAAGCCTTTCTTTTGCTTCCTGTGCCTTTTTTTCATGGTCCTGCTCCCTTCCTCTCTTAAGTCATAGTGATTTCCATATCCTGCTTTTTGGTTCTGAGATACTACGAATGCTTAAGAGCAGGGCCCCTATCTAATTTGTCTCTGGATATACCCCAGTGCTTGTAGCAGCACTTGATAAGATGTTTATTGCACACCTGCCATGTGCTGGAGCCAGCATTCTATTGTACAGAGCAGGTGCTCCACATATGTGTGGGTGCATTCTCTACAACCCATAATAGCAGGACTGACTGTCCTAAGGAAGTGACCTTTGGCTTTGGTGCTTAGAACAAGATCTCTAGGGAAGAAACATGTTCTCCTGCCAAGGTAGAAGTAGGATGGTTTCCCCAATACATGTGGGTGAGTGGGAGCTTGCTTGATACTTCTCCCTGATGCCTGGGCTGGAGAGATTTGAGGACTTAAAGAGGTTTTGTGTTTGGGAATTGGCCAATTTAACATATGTGTGTGTGTGTGTGTGTGTGTGTGTGTGTGTGTGTGTGTGAGAGAGAGAAAGAGAGAGAGAGAGAGAGAGAGAGAGATATCACAATCAGTGTGTTTTTTTCATCCAAGCCCTTGTTGTGATTGTTTTCCCTTTATGGCATGACCAGAGAGTTTTCTGGGGCTCAATTTGGGTCTTATTCTTAGCATCTGGTATAGCTGGTTGAGGGTGATGGAGTTGTTCCCAGCCCTCTGATTCTGGAGGGCTTTACGAACATGATAGAGTAGTGATAAACAATCACATCTGAATTCCAGACCCTTTGGGGAGTGAAAGAGGTGGCAAGAAAAGCAGAATTGGGGCAGAGTCACACCCCTTTTGACAGACCTTGGTTAGGAAGCTGGAGAAATTAGGGCACTGGGAAACCTTGGTCTCCTACTCCTTGCTATTTTCTACTTTCAGCTCCATCTCAAACATGCCTAAAAAGTTACTCTTAATTCTCTAAAATGAAACATGTACCTTGAAGGCTTTTTATAGCATTCCTTTACAATGTGGAGAGATTTATTTTGTTCTTCAAATAATGGTTCTATGGCAGGGTCTCTACTGGGTTCAATTAGGGGTCCTGGGCTAGCTGCAATCTGCAGTAGATGTCTGTAAGCACAATGCATTTATTAACACCACATGAGTGATGTGGCCAGTCTGTGGCTGTAGGCTTCAAAAGCTGTGGTCTGAATTACAGCCACAGTGGACTTGCTGGTCTAGAAATACTTCCCAGGTAAGGGCTTATGGGACAGAACTCTGATGTGTTCAGTAGTATCCATAGATGGCATAAAAAGGTAACATTCATTTGTATCACCCAGTTGACCCCAAGTGTGATTGTCATTGACCAACTACACACTAGTCTGTTTGTGAGGGAGAAATTCTAGGGTTGTATCTTCTTTAAATGCACATGACAAAAGCTAGTAAGTGCATTTCTGTTACTCTCGAGGATTTTATTCTTGTGCTACTCTGACCTGTCTTCTTTCTATCTTCTTAAAGTTTCTGTGATGAAACCTTCTTCATTCCATATTACTGATTCTGGGATGTATTTAGCAGGAAACCAAATTTGCCATGTCATGCCCTAAAGCTTTACAAAAAGTTGACACTTAAACCACTTGAGATAGAAATTATGTAGTCCCGGCTTATTAAACATTTGACTATGAAAGCAGTAAATACTTGCAATAGACTGTGTCCCCACAAAATTTGTACCTTGAAATTCTAATCGCCAAGGTGATGGTATTTGGAGGTGATTAAGTCATGAAGGTGAAGTCCTTATAAATGAGATTAGTGCCCTTATAAAAGAGACCCTGGGAACTCACTTGCCTTTTTCTCCATGTGAGGCTACAAGGAGAAGAAGGCTGTTTTCTGTGAATCAGGAAATGAGCCCTTACCAGACATTGAATCTGTTGGTGCCTTGTTCTTGAACTTCTCAGCTTCCAGAACTGTAAGAAATACATTTATGTTGTGTATAAGCTACTCATATCATGGTATCCTGGTATAGTAGCCTGAATAGACTAATACAGTACCCAAATGTAGGAATGATTTCTTCTCCATTGTTTTGTGGGGACACCTGTTGGATGTCAGGTGTCCATATATGTCTGGCTTTGTTTTGGACTTCCTGTTCTTTAAAATTAATTTATTTTTCTACCTATGCACAAAATAC